TCCAGTGCAAACCAGTTGGGGGGTGAAACTCCAAATCTGTGAATTGAGTTCTCAGCTGAACATGCCAGAGGGACAGTTGTGCTTCTGTTTCTTCTGCTTCTTTCATACTATGGTGATCATTTGTACCCAGTCTTTAGAGGGCAATAAAAGGTAAATAAACAAAGATGCCATTCTTTTGTGTAAAAAGGGAGCTGCTTTAATGAAACACTTTTTCAAACAGAAACATTCATCTCAGACTGATTAAAACTGTACAAAATTCTGTAAGGCTTTTTGAACTCCTTGCTAGTTGAGTCGTATCTACAGCCTTTCCCTCAGTAATTAGGTGCCTTTATTTCTCTACATTCCACCTCTTATGTTCTATGTCATGAAAAAAACAGGCCTTTTTCAACATCACTGTTGGACAATTTAATTAAAACTTAACGGAAACATAGAGAACAAGCCAGCAATATTCAAGGTGTTGGTTTTTGCCACTGTTCACCGGTAGAGTCTCCCTTCTCTCTTCTTTTCCCTTCTCTTATCCTAAGTCATGTGTTTCAAACTAAAATTAAATATTGTACCAGGCTGTATTTCTATTCTAACTGTTCATATAACACATGCACAGTTTCAAGAAGTAAAAATAAACTGATGTAAAAATAATCTGCTGTTGGTAATATAGCAGTGCCACTACAGTAAAAATCTTGATACGAAAATAACATATTTGGAATGTCACATTGTAGTTAATCCCTTTCGTAATCTTTGCCCATGCTGACTCTCAGGGAAAATAAAATCTCATTCTGAGAGGGGTTTAGTAAAGCTCTGCTTGCCATATTTACTGATAGGAGGAAAAAAACCCCTTTGTGCCCCTGATTGTGGGAAGTTTGGCTGAATTTATGCTGAACAGAAATCAAAGTGGATGGCCATTAATTTCGAAACACATCGTATGAGATACGTTATGGCAGGTCAAATATGAATTTTTTTTAAAACTAATTATGGCATACAATTCCTATTACAGTTTGTTCATAAATATTGGAGAAAACATCTATTTTTACAAGGTACATGAATAGGGCAGCTTGAGTTGAGTTGAGTTTAAGGTCTAGTTGCTATAAAACTGAGATAGAAACAGAACCATGTTGAGTTGAAAAGCAGAAAATACCTGTTTGCTGCAGAGTGCTATTCAAAGGACACCATTACATCAAAATGCATTTGGAAACAAATGCTACACTGTACATGTATTGAATATTAATTAGCCATGTGCTTGATTCAGACTTTGTATGGTTATTAAGCTCTTGCAGGCTTGTCCAGGACTTGTTTTGCTTTGATATGAGGAAATAAGGCCTGTTTTTTAAGTCTTTCTGTAAATCAGTAATATAATGCAGAGTACTGACAGTAAATACCCCTGTCAATACTGTCACTGCATGTCAAGTCCTTTTTGAAAGAAATGTAGCCTTTTTTTTTCATGTATGTTAGTAGTCATAATAAGTCTATGGTCCACATTAGAGTTAGGTAATTTTGTGTTTGTCTTCAGCAAAGCAGAAAAGAAGTTAGGCTTGACATTTGGCAGCACAAATAATACGGTTTTAATCTACGATTGTAAATTAAAACAGCAAAAGTGATTTACAGTATAGGAAAAGTGAAACATTGACTATTAAGGGACATATATTCCTCAAGGGAATAATGGTGTGCCTTCCTGCTGGCCTTGTACCATTTGCACTTCATTGGAATTACATAAGTTTAGCTACAAAAGTAAAGAAGAATATTTATTCTCACAAGTGTTTTCAGACCTATCCTTTAAATATGGATTAATGCAAGTGTCAAAATAAACATTAGAAACATGAACAGAATACGTCGCAAAAGCCATTTATACAGGTTTTGTTTGCATGTATATGTTATATATCCAATGGAACATATCTTAGGGTGGGACCAGAGACAGGGATGTGCTGAACTTTGTCCAAACTACTACTTCGTTGAATTGAATGGAATTAGAGATGCTGTACACTTAAAGATATGCGTATCTTCTTTGAAAGTTTAAGTCCTGGTGATTTTATAAGGACTCTAGAGCAAACAGACTAAAGGTACTGTTTGGGAAACTGGACCCTGAACCAGTAACAGCTCTGACTCTTCATGAGCCCATAGGCTGGGAATGTCGCACTGTGGTTAGCAGGATAGTGAGTCCGGTGGTAAACATTTAAATAGACCTGATCTAACCAAACGGGAACAGAACTCCTTAAATCTCCGCCTGTTGTTCTAAATTCTCTTCTGAGGAAGGCAGAGTAATTTCTAGCCAAAACTGGAATGAAATGAAAGAAAAGCAGTGGAGAAAACTGGAGAGAGAAAAAAATGTCAGAAATGGCAGCTATTACAGATTCATATCCTGCGTGATGGTTCCCATCCAGTTTCTGGAACACCAGCAGTTGGACAGCTGTCTAAACTTTGGCATTTACTGAAATAATTTCTTAAGTTTTACTGCTGTTATTTGCATTACTTTTGTAAACTTAAATATGTGCGAGATTAGTTGCTAACTACGGTAATCAATTCATAGAAGTTAAGACACTAAAAAACTAAAAGGCAAAATACATTGTAACACTTCTGTAGAATAAGTTCATGAGTTATTGGGTTCATTATGAAAGAGTACAATGGCTATTTATGAATGAAAAATCATTAATATAAATTTAAACTATTAAATATGGTCAAAAATTTGAGCGCTTTTTAGAAATCACTTGCAGTGTAAGTTACTCAGTATCTGTTACATGAATTTCTAAAGCCAAGGCTTTTAACAGTGCTGGAATACATTGGCCTAGTGACATACTTAGGGAGGCATTATTGAGTGCTCCACCATGATGATGGACGTGCTTTCTGTAAATATGAGCATTTTTAGCCTGTCATTATTTGTGTTGGTTCCATAAAACACTGAAGCATTAGACCATCTGGCTTTCCTTTCAACAAGGCGTAGCTAGTCCTTCGGAATATTGACTTGGGTAAGAGGATTGTGATTCTCAAGGCTGTTTTTTAACTTCGTTATCAATGAAAGTGGCAGCTCTGGGGATGACGAAAGCTATGACATAAGTAACGTACAAAATATGGAGCACAGATTGTTTTAATCACAGAAGTGTTCAACTTGTTTCAGCAGATGAGGAAATACAGGGATTTTTGAATCTCTTTTTTTATAGCACATTGTTATAATAGTTTACATATACACTGTACAATAATTCTTTTGTGTCAGAAGGCTTTCATACGGAAAAAAAATAGTTCTATAAAACATTCCATAGTTCATCAGAAAGATTTGGAGTAAAACATGGGGCGCTCTTACTCTGCAGGTGAACAGAAATAGGGGACAAAATTCTGGCAATTCTTTTGTTCTTGTACATTCATATTGGTAAAAAGGAAACTTGTTTTGCCTTAGAGGAGACAGAGACGCGTTCTCAGCTTGAGCCTCTCTGTACAAAGCATAACTTTACCGAGTAGCTACCTCCAGGAGATTTGTTCCTCATCCTGAGCGAGTGCCAAATCCACCGACTCGTACTTTAGTTGTACAGGACAATTTGTTTTTGTTTCTAAGCAACAGATACATTAGACGATGGCAGTTCAAAGCTGTGAGCGTGCAATGTTGGATGCAATTAGACTCCAAGGCTCTTCAGGAGGTGATCAGTTTAAGGTTCGCTGATATCAATAAACTCCTTCTCGGGGGGAGGACCACCTCGGTACCAGCTGCACGTGCCATCGCTTCTCTTGATACAGGCGTAATGCTTGGCTTGGTGCCCGTACAGCTTTCTTTCGATCAGCCAGTCTGTCCAGAGGCACTCATTTGGTGTCGTGATGGAGCAGGGCACCATGTAGCAGGTAGTAATCTAAATGTGAAACAGGACATTAATTCAGGATGTTTGCAGGTTTCTGTCAAATGGTATTTATTCTCGAATCGCATAAAATATGTGAGATAACAGGTCCCACCAGTGAAAATGGCTAGTGCCTGTAAGGTGGGCTCCACCAGCAGAGAGTGTTTCGTTCTGTACGTACCTTGCATCCGCAGCCCATTTGGTATCTCTGATTCAGGCTTTTCTTTTGAGACAAGGATAAATCATCCCATGGTTCAATGTAGTTGCATAAATGGATGAGAACTTTACCATCACTTAAAATTTGGCCTACAGCATGGAAAATAAGAAAAATAAGTAAGTCAAGCAAATAGAACTGTTTTATAATACTGAAATAAATTGCAAGAATAACTAAATTTTTTAAGTAATTGCACCAAATTAGTTGTATTTCACACTTTTTTTAATGAATGCAATTCTACCTGAAAGAACAGTTCTGCTGATTGCATGCTGAATAAATGTGAAAGCTTTAAGAAGGGTATTTTTCAAAAGATGCTGATAATCTGCCAGTAAGGGATGGAGGCAAAGGCAGTAGTGTGTTAAACTGCATTTCAGGGCTACAGAAAAATCTGTAATTGCTTGGAACCCCTAATCTGCATACACGTAGGCATGCTACGTCTCATTATACATTTGCATTCTTGGGAAAATGGGTACTGTTGGTTTTAAACAAAGAACAATGGCATACTTCCAGTGCACTGACTGTATAGCAACTGACTTCAACCTCCTTTGAAACTACTTTGAGATCTTTGGGTGAAGAATGGAAAACATGTAAGATCACAGCAAAATTACAGCTTTACATAATTTGTACATTTTATTTTGTTTGTATTATTTAGTACACAAATATATTATTTTTTAACAAGGGTTGGCGTATTTTTGCAAAGCCAATCTAAGCAGTTACTTATGGATTTATAGATACATTAATTCTGTTGTATTTTACCTGTCAAAAGATACTGTTTTTTGTTGTTTGCTTCTAGTTTCACTCCACAGAGTGATGAATCAAAAGGGGTGTAGACATACTGGATGTCCTTGAGCTTTTCAAATCCTTTAAACATCTGAAAATTAAACAGAAAGTAAGTAGTGGAAAAAAACCCATGAAAGAACAGTTGCAAACAACAGCTGACAGAAGTATATGCTGCACCTCTTAAAAAAGGCTCTAAAGTCTGAACTTACATGAGAAAATACCATCTTAGACCCTTTCTTTACACTAAATGAACCGTGTCCATTATTTCTAGTAGGAAAGTATGTCTTAATTTTAATTCTTTTACATCATAGGTTTTAAAATGGGCTTTTTCAGTGTTTTTAATGGATCTCTAAAGCTTTCTCTTCAAGCTATATTCTACTGGCATCTTCCATTAAGGAGTCATGCAGACACCGCGTTGGTCTCAAACAAGGTGCAGAAATTTCTCAATCTCTTCCTGCGGGGGTTCTTATCTTGGTCAGTGTAATGGTGTGTACCTTCAAGGACATGAAACGTGCTACGAAACTGGGCACTGTTCTTCTATTCTGTCATTAAAGCAAGCTGGTTTTTCACATCCAGAATTTCGCCCAGTGTGACCTTCTCCAATAACTGTTGGAAAATGGGATCCAGCTCTTAGAATATACAGGCTGCAGCACCAAAATGGTAGGTTTGGAATCCAAACCTGTGGAGTGTTCGGATGGGCTGCTCCTTATCCAGCATTTCCAACTATGAAATTATCCCTCAAGCAAGCCATTCAGTTGTGTCCAGGAGCCATAAGGTGCTAGTCACCCTCAGAATGCCTGCCAGCAGCTGACAGGACAGAGCTGAAACCCCAGCGCCCCGGGGTCCCGTCTGGTGAGGTGGTGCTGCGTGTTGGCAGCCGCGGACAGTGGCAGCCGCGGATAGTCGCGGGGCGCGCGGCTCCCAGGGGCACGCTCTCCCACGTGCAGCTGCCGGCACTGGAAAATGTGTGCCTATCCCTCACGGTCTCTCAGGACGTTTCAATAGCACAGGGCACTAGAAAAGACACTGCAGTATGTTGATTTTTCTGAAGCTTGATTTATGGAATAAAAGAAGCCAAAGTTGTTGTCATGGGGCTTCTGATCCAAAAACATTAGTCGTGAATTTGAAATTCTTAGTAGAAAAAACAAACACGCCAAACCAAACCAGTGTCCTCTACAAAGCAGCAGTGAAGGTAGTAGAAAACGTCTATGACAACGATGAAAGCGTGTCAGGTGTTACTGCAGCGGTCTGGTATGTCGAGGAGGCAGGGGCAGGCTGCGCCTGTCGTGGAGAACCTGCCTGACTGCGAAGCCTTCCCCACTCCTACCGAGAGGCATTTGATTCCTCCCATCTGTGGAATTTGAATTCTCTGCTTCTGCTACCCTTACATCTGCCTTGTTCAGGGGGTGGGTACCGGGTGCTGATGTCTGGCACGCAGTAACCACGTGAACTACTCACGTACCCTCTACTCTGAGTTCTGCCCACAGTCAGAATCCTTGGGTTGGGCTACAGTGTATAGCAGGGTACAACTTTCATTTAATGTCTCATCCCTTGATCTGAGTTAACTTTAGAGGCATCATTCAGACAATACACATTGATTTAGCTGTAAAAAAAATAAAAATCTATGGCAACTTATAATGGTGATCTAGTTAATATTTAAATGAGGTTGGTGTTTCCTCTCTTGAGGCTTTTTTGTTAGTTGGTTGGAGAGTTATTTTAAATTACAGGCTGAACTATCTCAGGTTTTGACCTAGATATTTGTTAAAGCATTTCTTAAGATTTTAAACTTCTGCTTAATTCAGTAAATGATATTTGATCTTCTCAATCATATTCTCTCATCTCCTGATAGTGTGGGTACTTTCTCCATAAAGGGATAAGGTGCCTTTATTCGATTCTGCGTTGTGGTGTGGTTCATTTACATCTGAGGTTCTGGTAGGACTTTATGGAGGGAGGAAAAAAGGGTGAGGGACTGGGAGAATAGAGAGATGTGAGCCTGATACTGAAGTCTGTACTGATGCTGTCCCTGCCCTTCTGGGGTATGTAACAGACCCGTACACAGCTCTTGCTTTAAGATTTTAGTAAACTGGGGTTTTAAGCTTACCTGTATTACTTTCAGTCTCTCAGGCATGTTCCTGTTAAAATAATCACTTTTTTTTTTTCCCTCGAAGCCTTTTCAACTATACCATGGCTTATTTTCTGAGCTTGATGCAGGACTAACATCTAGCTTTAAAACTGCATGCCTCATTGCAAAGTGTAGCTGTTGCTGTGTTAAGCTTAAATACCTCCTCCAGTTCCCACTGTGAGGAGACCCCTCTGTCTTGTAAAAGAATTCTAATTCTTTCAGTGGGTTTCCATCCATGCAGCTTGTGTGGAAAATACGTAGCAATTTTGTTTATGCTAGTTTAATTTGGTAAAATGTGTTGATTTCGTGTATGACAGCAATATCTCAGGCCTTACTTCACTACTCTCATAATATAGGGTAATAAAGGATCCCAAAAGCTAATGGCACCTTTTTAATATTCAGGTGGCTCCTCAGAGCATGATAACCAAGTCAGTAGCAATAATGTTATGAAGACAAATTTTCAATTGCATATAAATCACCTGTTTTCTTCTCTCTTTGGTATAATGCTGTAAATATAGCATAAAAAAAAATAACAGCAATTGGAAACATGCATGGCTTCTCAACATGCCAATGCATATATATGAAATTAATAAAGCCCATCATTATTCTTTTTTGTATTTCTGAAAATGAATAACAAAGTTGTATTTAATATTTCTATCCTAAAATACCAGTGATTTAATGCTAAGCCAAGTGCACTGGATTTAAAATAATAGAAACACAGCTTTTGTAAGAGGAGTAGCATAAACCAGTCACACTAATGTTACATGTCAAACGGCCCAGAGAGGAACATAGATGGAACCTCTGTAGGTTCTGTGGCTCTTGCCCGAGAGGGGAGTAGAATTGCTGTGGGAATTGTGAATATGTGTGAGGCTTAAAAAATATTCAGCAAAAATAATACTGAGTTGCTAATCATGTTTATCTTGATAGTTTTTACAGCTCAAAAGAGGTGTTTAGAGAGTCTGTTCTTCTTGTTACAGAAAGTCAATCCTTAACATTTCCCTCCCCGCCCCCGTACATGTTTATGCGCAGGGCTAGCCAGAAACACGTGGTCAGTGCCATCTGACATTAAAAGGACCGTTCAGTTTTTCAGAACTGCAGCTCATCAAATTTCCAACGTGAGAAATCGGTCTGTAAGTACTCGATTGAACAAAGACTAAAACGGTGGAAAGAGAATATTCTACCATTTGGCACACACTGTTGACTTAGATTCTTTTAGATGTTATCATCTGAGAGAAAAGGTAAGAAATGGTGTTATCAAGTTATTGCTCTGGTCAACCAAGTTCACAGCTATTTGGGAGACAGATACACAAATGAAATCACTGATCCATGAGGCTCATGGTTTGAAGATCTCTGAGAAGCAATTTCTGTGATAATCTGTGAATGTCCCACTCCATTGAGGTGGCCATATCTGGCCAATTGTACACTACATTATATTATTTTAATGGTTTATTTTACACTTCCCAAATGTTTACAAGCATGAGCTATTTAAAATTCCTCACTCTCTACTTTTGTAACGAGTCTTGACTCCTGCCTCCTCTTAACTCTTTTCGACCAAAAGTAAGAATTTGAAGGGTGGGACTATTATTATAGAGTATTACTGACAGTTTGGGTTGGAAGGGACCTTAAAGCCCATCTAGTTCCAACCCCCCTGCCATGGGCAGGGACACCTTCCACTAGACCAGGTTGCTCAATGACCCATTTGTCTTTACTCTAACGTGTGGAATGATGTAGAGCATCTGTTGTTAGAAAATAAGTCTCTCTGGTTTGTCCCGTCCTAGCTGACCTGCCCTCTGAAGCTTAGTGGACTTAAATTAAATTCTCTTACTGATGTCTGAGTTTTGAACAGGGCTTCACTTACAACAATTTGGGAGAAACTCCAAAGCAGCTCCCTATATCAGAGATTGCAGTGCGCTGTTACTGAAGAACGGGATTATGGACTGAAAATAGTAACGCAGACTAGACTTCTCATTCTTTTTTGTGCTGAAGTAGAAGATGATTTGCATTTCTATAAGGTTACTCAAGTGCTGCAGGGTGGCAACAGAAAATTAAAGTGCTAACGGAAGGAAAGGGAATTTCTCTGGTATGTATACTTATTTCTGTAAAGAAAGATTTGAAAATATCATTAATAGTTTACAAAGACAGAAAGTGGCAGATGTTGTAGAGTTTTGGGGTTTGTTTTAGCAAGTTAAAAAGAACTGGCTTGTTGAAATTGCTCTAAAAGCTTAACAGGACTCGTGTGATAACCAGGCTTGTGAATATTTTGAGATACTCCTGTTTACCATAGATTTTTCTTAGGGAAACTCCTGCCACGTGATCTACTGGTACAATTTGAAGGACTGAATTTTTTTGACAGCACCTAGCTGTTCACAATGATCTACTTAAGTGTTCCCAGTAAGTGTAATAAAACTAATTAATACAAATAATACAAAATAATATTATCTGAAAAAAAATGAGAGAGAAAAACACATAGAAAACTTCAAACAAACCAACAAACAAAAATCCCCACCATCACACGCTACTACATTTTAACTGGAAGAGATTACCTATTTTTTGTGTATTCCAGAAACAGGTAGAGCATGATCTTTTTGTATCAGGGGGTTTGATGGTGTCTCGAATGGGTTCAAGATAGGTTTTCCTAAAGCACTTTAATGAATATGTCTCCTTACTGGAGCTAAACAAATAATGGAAAAATCCTGTGAGATTCTGAATGACTGTATTTTTGGGTGCTCTAACTGTATGTTTGCTTTCCTAGCAATACTCATACAAGTAGGGGTTTGTTTATACCGGGGCAGGATTCCTGTTTCTGCAACCCCCTCTCTGCATGTACGACAATGGTCGATCCTTGCTGATTCAGCTGGAAATGCCTTTCCGTTTATAAAGTTTGCATCATCCAGTCGGAGTTGCAATACCATAATGCAGCATAAGTGATCAGGTATCCACCTGAGAGAGCAGAGGCATTGAACACCCTTCACAGACTGAAGTACGCTTTTCTAGCAATTGTGAGTAACGGAAATTGTCATCAAAATATGGTTTGGCAAGTAACTTATGTCAGACAACTTGCTTTTTTTCTTCCTTTTCTTTATCCCTATTTTGATTTATTCTGTGCGGTTCACCTAGGTCTAACTGTGAAGATAGCTGGAGCCTGCTCCAGCTTAAAGCATTTAGGGCTAAATTGCAGTCATATACATGGGTTATCAGCATTGAACTCAAAATAGCTAAGTGATTCCATGTACCTTTATTTGTTTGATTTCATACCGGATCATTTTGTGGGTGTCAAGAGGATCATCACTGGCAGGAACCACCTTTTCGCTGGATATTTTTGCTCGAATCACTGTAATAGAGAAAAAGATTTAAATGCAAATAAGCATATGCTTAATTTTACAAGCAATAGTGAAAATTATGTTGATAGATTTTTAATGTTGTTTTTACACTTTAGGTAGAAGCAGATTTTGAGGCTTATTACTGTAAGAACACTAAATTGAGTTAACTGCTGAAAGCAAAAATAAGTGGGCTGTCTATGATATAAATCTGAATTCCCATGAAATCTGAATTAAGTTACCACTCCATGATATAAATCTGAATTCCCATGAATCTGGAAATCTGAATTAAGTTACCACTCTGTTTTGACAAAAAAATCTTTGGAAGACTTGAATCCCATAAAGTTTTATGAAACACCCATCATTATAATCAGTGTGCAAAGGGAAGGGCACTTCTGTTGAAGACCGAAGATTTGTAAATCTCTTGAACAGACTTGACCTTTACACTCTGAAAGACCATGCCAGGCAAGATTAAAGCGTCAATGTGATGCATGGAATCAGAAGACAAGACGACAGTAGTCTTTCGTTCGCTTTTCTGAGACTATAGATTTTAGCATTTTTCTTAACACATCATTAGTTGTCTTAACCTGTTAATTACCCCCCTCTTGTGACACATTTTTTTAATTTTCTGTTCTTTATACAAGAAAAGTGTGGGATTTTATGAAAAGAAGACATGCTTTGTTTTCCTGTCTGTTTGTTTGAGGCGTCTCTCTTGCATATACTGTTCAAAATGTACCAGGATTATTAGGCGCAGAAAATAAAAGGATTCTAAGAATGTGGTATATGGCCAAAATTTCTCTGGGGACTTCTACCCCTGAAAAGTATTGAGAGTCCTGGTTTGGCACAGTTCTGGATGGTCGCTATTGCAACTTCTCTGCAGATGTGGTACTTGTTAAAACAAACAGTCTGTATCTGCGTGGAGAGGTGGTGGCAAAGGCCGGAGCAATCAACAGTCAAACGCCACTTCAGCCGTAAGTCCAGTTTGCAACTGGGCAGAAATGGGTTTGTGCAAGGACATCAGCATTGTTGATGGGAATGGTTGGATTTGCTCTCTCTCTCACAGGTATGCTGCTTTATACAGGTACAGTAGAGACCAGAAAGTGTTCTTCAGCATGAGGGCAGCACTCAGACACTTCCTTTTTTGTTCCATTTTTATTTTTCGCAGTGAAAGGAACCATTCTGTCAAAATTAGTATGGAACAGGCATGATGTTTCATAGACTGAGTTATGTTGGAAGGGGCCTCTGGAGGTCTAGTCCAACCCCTTGCTCCACTTGAATCAGGATGCTCAGAGCTGTGTCTGGCTGAGTTTGGAGTATGTCCAAGGATGGAGATGCTGCAGCCTCCCTCAGCCCTGTTCCAGGTTTCACCACTCTTTCAGTGAAATCCTTGTACTTCCTGTTCACGAAAAAAAATCAAACTAATGCAGAGTAAAATCTTTTGGCATCAAAATCATGGTTTTCCCCAAAAGAAGTTTCTTTGATAGATTGACCTCTAAACATTGTATCTAAAGGAATAAGAGTTCCAGATCGTAATTTTCCTTACATCCAAATAGAGGTCGGTCCCATCTAATAATTCTCATTTCCTCCCTTATTAGCAGAGCAAAGTAGCTGTAATAGTCAACGTGATGCAGATGCCTACAGCTTCAAAGCTGGAGTCCTCTATCTTTTGGCACAATCCTCCCTCCTCTCGAGCCATTTAAACTCTCTTAAAGGAGCATTTCAGACTTACAGGTTAGATTGGAAGAGTTCTTTTAAGTATGACCAGCAAATGCCTTGTTTCAGATGCTAAGTGGCAGCATCTCCTTAATCATCTGCAGATGTGTTATGTTCCTACAAATTAACAGTACTTCTTAAGTGCTTTGATCTAATTCCAGCTCAAAAGTTGTGGATTGCGTGTACTACCCCGCTGGAAGAGCCAAATTGGAATCACGTTGTTTTGCTTTGCATCGCTTTCCTTTGCATCATTACTACCTAAATAAACGTATTTTCTCGATAAGGAGTGCGTTCAGTATGGCAGGTGTGGGGTGGGATAACAGCTAGGAGCCAGCGCCATTATTTTCTTAATGTGGTTTATATGCAGGAAATCTTTTCCTACCTGCTCAATGCAAACATTTGTAGGATAATTAAAAGTACTTTTCCCCTTGTGTTTAATGTTGAAACATTACTCATTTTCATATTTTTATTAAATTCTGCTTGTGAGCAGCTGAGAGAAACATTACAGATCATCAGTGGTAGCTCAGACTGTCTCCATGGACTTATGTAAGGCTGAAAGTATAACATTTTGAGGTTTCTCATTAAGAGATTTATTTCTGGGTGTGTAGAAAAAAAAGAAAACTATTTTTATGTTGTGTGTGTTTCATTCATTTGTTTGTTTAAGAGAAAGCTTCCAGATGGCGAGGAAAGGTCAAATTGAAATTTTTTTTTTTAATTATGAGGAAGTTTTATTGTTACAGGATGTCTAATCTTCAGTTATTTGGGTTTTACTTTTCAATTCTCCCGAAACCAGATTCAAATGTACACAGATCTTTTGGGGCCTCGTAATCCTTCTTGGTTTTCTTTTTTCTGTGCTTTAATATTTTTTTTCAATCAGTGTCGTCTAGCTGTCTCCTAAAACCTCTTATTCATGTGGTTGCTTCTGTTTTTAACCACAAGTACTTCCTGATTTAGCATTCCTGGTCCTAGCCATCTGCCTCTCTTCACTCATGGTTCCAAGAGTGGTTATAACTTAGGATTCTTCCTAGTCTGTGCTTCTTTTCAAGAAATAGTTTCACATACAGCATGGCTGGCTTGGCTTCTCCTCTCCTTGACTGAGAAAAACCTCTGGTTGTTTAGTGTAATAATGTCATTTTATCTGTCAGACAGTTATTGGTTCCTTATGAGGAATTTGCATGTATGGAATACAGATGTATACCCTTCATATTCCAATGCCAGTCATTCGGTCTGCCTCAAATTTGTTCTGCATTAAAAAGAGATGCTGTTTTTCAAGACATTCATTATAATTTTTCAGTTGGAAGGTGTAGCATTTCTGCGGAACTTGTATTTTGGAACTCATGGAACTTCCATCAAATTTAAACTTTTATCCCCACTTTGTCGCTGAAGGTGGTTGCAGGTAACTGAACAGGAAGGATCAAACCAGGCAGGGGCCAGGTAGAGCCTCAGAACAGAAATCATAACTGGCAGTTACCAGCTCCCACGACTACGCTGAGTCCGTAGCGTGAAGCTGTTGCCTCTCGGAGCAAGTGCTGCTCCAACTTGAGTGCCACAGCGTGCTCCAGGTACCGGAGGACAATGTGCTGTTCCGTAAATCCGCCTGGGCATTGGACATTCATCATTAGAAAGTTAAGAATATTTGTATTCCTTCTCTCCTGAATAATAAACATCTCCCAACCATTTCTACATCAACAAAAGGTAATTTTGAAGTGGATAAAGGACACGACTTATTTCTATAACATCATATATATTTGTGTTTATATAGTCAGGGGAGAAGTGTTGGGTTTTATGCAATACAAAAGTGGACAGTACAAAAGTGCAATACAATAGAGTAGCAATCTCGATGTTAACCACGTCTTTCCCAAACCTTTATGGTTTCTCTCTGAAATCAGCTACACTAGTTATTTACCATCACCTTGTGTATTAGAGATATTTATGAATTTATGAGGAACTGCTTCTACTGGGGCCTTTTTTTACAAGACATTCCCTGCCATTAAAGAATTTTACCACACTATAGTGGCATATGCAATGAAATATGACCATCTTTTTCACAGAAGGGGAGACACAAAGAAGTGAGTAATATACTGGAGGCCCCATACCAAGTCATGGATACAAATGGAATCAGAATAAAGTATATCCTTGCGCTTTGTCCACTGAAGTTCCTGTGTTCCCTAAAAGTACTGTCTTTTTAGACTCTGAGTTATTTCTAAGGGAATAACAAAGGGAAAACTATGTAGTGATGAATTACTCTTCATTTGAAATTAGTATTATTAAAAAATATATTCTTTATGATACTATTTTATGTAGGATTATTGTACTTACACAAGTTTTAAAATGATGCTATTTAGCCTTTATCCTTAAGCTGATGGATAGGGAAGAAAATACTGTTTGAAGACAGGTGACTTTACTCAACAAAAATAATCAACTTTATTACTCCTTCAAAAAGAAAAACAAATTGGAGTTTACTCTCCAAATGAGCTTTATTGTCTTAAGAAATAGGAAGTAAGAGAGAAGGTAAAAACTGGTGAATAAATGAATCTCTTTTTCCCCAGAATCTCTTAAATATCAACAACTGTATAATGAAAATACTTCATAAAATATTTAAGATATTTGACATAAGAAATCGTAATTGCTTGTGTGCATTCTTATTTTAAATATCTAAACCAAAAAAGAAATAAAAATGTAAGTAAAAATATAAATATTGTTTAGAAGAGTATAAATTTTAAAGATGGACAGATAGGGATGCAGGTATCTGGCATTTGAAAATCTCTTTTGTCATCTCTTTGGACTCTAAAAACACTCGGGCTACATCCTGAACAAAGTTGTCAAGGGTGTTAAGATCACAGTACCATAAGAAATACAGACTGCTGTTAAACTGTAGTTTCACTTACGTTGAGTCTTGTACAGTATTGTTGTTTCTGGGATATGATTCCTATCAGAGGAAGAATATTTCACTGTCTTCTGGAATTAAGAGAGACCTAGAGATTATTATCGTGATGGATGCATCCAGTTTGAAATACAAGCTTCACGGCAATTTTCATTGGATCAGTGGTAAACTGTGAAATACCTACGATTCGTAGATGATATATTTTTGGTTAGGAGTTGCAGCTTAAAGCAAAACTCCATTGTTAATGAACTCTAGCCCTTCAGCAGTAGGTGGGTTAATCAACAGAAGGGCAAGGCTGGGATGCCTTAGCTGCTTTTTTGAGGTCTGTGAGCAAAGCAGCATGGTTCTGCATGCAGAGGGGGCCATGTTACTGGGGCTGTGCCAGCCATTTCTATTCTTGGTTTGCCCTGGGATTTA